TAAAATAAACATCACTGAAAGAAACTGTTATTTTCACAAGTAATTGTGCGCAAACATTAGCCAGACATGTGTATTCAGCGCTAGCAGGTGCGATAATTCAAACAAATATTTATGGCCTACTTTTTCTTACCACGTTTAGAGTTCCAAGCAAAGTCGCTCCGTAATTATGAGAAAATATGCAAGAGGAAAGTACTGCGATAAAGTTTTAAACTCTTGAAACTCTACACGTAGTAAGGAAAAATCACCATAACTGCTTGTTTCATATATTACACGCGTTACCGCTGAAAGCATGTCTGACTAATGACCTGCCGTAACTACTTACAGTTTTGCGACTGTCTCCTGGAAACTCGCGGAACCGTGAGGCACTCGTCTCTTTCATCAAGTACCATCACTTCAGCTCCTTTGTATTTGTTCTCCATCTGATTTTGTTATTATTGATGAATTGGAACAGGACTATGTATAGCATATCTTTTACATACGTATATTTTTAGCAATTATTTAAGCAATGATATATTATCTGAAAAAGACCACAAATAGTCTAGCCAAAATATATAAAAGAAAGCCATTCAAAGGCATTCTTAAAAAATTCACACGTAATTTATACTTTTACTATAACTTCAAAATAATTTAACCCCCGATAAAGTTAACTAACAGTTTGGTAAAAATCACCAATTAAGCGGATTACTGTGGATTCCTTGTATCAGTAACGATTATCCGTGGTCCCTCGTTAATTCACCCACTCCAAATTTATATTTTCAAACGTGCATTTTTAATAAGCCACGCGCGTGTCGCGATCCCTGTGCATCGGTGGGGACTGAAATTGATATCGATAATATCGTCCACGAAAATCCTCGAAACTGCCCGGTGATTTAAATTCGCTTCCATAAATAAATAACGCAAAACCCCGTATTATAATTGCCTCGTAAATGATTTACAGCAAGCAATGAATTAAATAATCGCAAAACGTCGATGATCGTCGAAGCTGAATTCGCCCAGGAACGCGGTGAAATGTTTTTTGTAATCGTCATTTAACGCGAATACGATGACTATCGTTTGCCAGTAGACGAAGAAGAAAATGGGAGAAACCGTTCCAAGAGGAAGATTAATGTCGATTCGAAGCCAGAGCGTGATTTCGTCGAACAACTCGAGGTCGTCAAAGTACGTCGTGATGAAGGATTTCGTCGCTCTTGGCCTGAAGATATGTATTACGCGAGCCAAAAGGGCAGAAAAGTTTAAATAATTCCATGCCAAAAAATGTGGCGCGATCTCCTTTGTTTGACGGAACACGTCCGCGATGAATTAAATATTGAAATGATCAAAGGGATCGTTTCAGAATTTATATTGTTTCATTTCCGCTGTTTATTTTCAATTGCACTCGTTTGAAGAACTACGGTAATCGCAGAATTCCTGATCCTTGTGAGTCTCGACCTGACTGCTTCCATTTTTCCCTAGACGGCAAGTGCAAACATTCTTGTTTAATTCCCCGAAGGAGACGTTGATCTTTCACGGTTGAATTAAATGACTGCAGGAACACTTTTAAGATACCGTTGGAACATACTTTTGATGTTTCTTTACGCTTATTGGAACAATTGAGTTTTTACACAGACAACTGATACAATCGAATAATTGGAAAAACGATTAATCAGATTTTTCATTTGCCACCATCTATGTTGTAGTTTTTAATGTCTCGATTGTCCACGTCATGCACAGAAATCGATAGGTCCTACCGTGGCGTTTAACCTTCACTCCGTGTCCCAAGTCTATCGATTCCCGTAGACGTCTATTTGCGTTCGCAGTGTCAGCCACGATTGCATTAGAATCCTTGCGAGATGTGTCATCGAATTCGATCGCGGAGAGGCATTACGTTGCTGCGGGAGAGTGCTCGAGAACCCCGTCTAATCGACGTCACCTCCGTTTCACCTGACGTTCGAGACATTTGGAACGGACAAATCCACCAGCGTCAAACAAAAAACCGCGTCGACTTTGATTTAACTGGCAGAAGCGCATCGGTAGATACACGCGACAAAGATGCGAACAAAATAATGAAAAAACATATACCTTGTGAAAAACAAGAGCGAGGGAGTAAAAGACTCGGCGATGACGGAAGGGTCCCTGATGTTAGTCTTGTCTTACGCTGTGACGCCTCTTCTGTTTTCATTAAAAGCTTCGGTCCGTCTCTCTCGATCCCCGCTCTTCCGTACCCTCTTTCTTTCGTCGTATAATATTACTTTTTCTTTTGAAAGTTGAAATGGGACGAACGTCGTCTAAGAGACTCAATTCCTTGCTATGTTTCGTGTGACTTTCAAAGCAACAAGACCTGAGTTATTTCGATGAATAATCGTCATCTCCGAGGTACTCGTCTCGTTCTCATCGCTTTTGTAGATTCGAACGGTATCCCCATTTTTTTCTCTGTTTCTTTGGAAGATAAAAAAGAGTAGGCAATTCACAGAAGAACGATCAGGGTTTGAATCATTCTTTGTCGAAAAACGTCTTGCGAGCCTTACACGCGACTGCTTCCCTCGTTAGCTTCAACGGAGCGGGACTCCGGGAGCCGTTAGTCGCCTTTTTTTTCTTCGTTTTCAATCCTTATTCCCCGGGTTGAGCCCGCGAAACAGTTAACGATATCCAAACAAACCATTCCGTGTCGAGGGTGGATGAGCCTCGCGGTTCCGAACGATTGCGCGTATAAAAATATGGACGTGTCTGGTATCAATGTTCAGCTAAATAATAAACAGAACGTTTGGCTTGTGGATAAATTTGTTTCAAATTTTAATCAAACGATTTAAAAATGTATCCGCAACAAATAAAATTTCAGAGACGCGCAAAAGAACGTTTTTCGCAAATTCTGTATTTAGCAACCCCCCCCCCTCCAAGGTTCAAGAAGTAGATTAATAATTAAATAGAATCCAAACCTAAGAATTAAAATAAGGAACTTAGAAACTGTTCATTGTCTCCGTGAAAATAGAGTTTATTCCACGATTAAAGCGAAGAAATCTTTAACAATGACCGCCTGATTATCCCCTAAATTACACACGCCCAATTTTCGCCAAAAATTCAAAGATAACGGTGGAGGGATTCCCTTCCGCTCGATTACTTCGCATTTCCGCGCCGTTTCCTCGTCGCTCGACGAGCACGTTCTCCCCGCAGCTACATTCGTTCACGGTGACCAACATTTTCGAACGTCTAAATCAACGCCATCCCTATCTCTTCCCCCTGGCACGCCCCTCCGATGTTACTTTCCCCGTGAAACGTATTACGTAAGTCTCGGTGAACGGAGATACACTGCGTTGACGGATGAAAACGGAATGAAACTGTCCCCTCGTGCTCGCGAACGAAGTCCATCGACTGTTAATCGCATAATCTAATATTTACCCCCGCTTTCCGTGCGAACCGCTGCTTACAGCACGGTTTTTCCCTCGCCTCCTACGTCGCGTCACCACCCATTCTCCTAGGAACAATTCCGATCCGTTTTCACGTGCCGCGTGGCCGGTGCTTCTACCGTCTCCAACTAGCGGTCCTTTCGCAGGAAGCAGCAAGGAACAAAGCGGGGACGAACTCGCAGGACGGCGGGGGGTAAAGGTAATCCCTATTGTTTCTACTGTCCCATAAATCCTACTAGCCGCGTCGCCTTCCCGCCTCCTGCGCTTCTCCGCTACCGCTCGCACTTCGGTTACCGACAACACAACCCCTAAACCACCCTACCACCCCCACCTGCTACAACTCCCGCTATTCTCAATCCCCTTGCTACGCCTTTCTCGGCGGTGTGCTTCGTAAATCTCGGTCCAGCTGTGCTTTTACGGCGCACACGTACTTCCTGGAGGAACACAAGCGATCCGTGATTCGGAAGGACTCTCATCCTTCCACGGGAATCGCTCGAGGGCGCTCGACGTTCGATTCAAGGCTGGGACCCTTGTGGGACTTCTCGATACCGTAGCTACAACGGGGAAATTTATCGAGGGTCTTTTCTTGATCGATTACCGAGTGGGAGGATAGATTACAAGACGATCCGAGCGTGTGGTATGGTTAACGTTTCGGCCCTGTAGGGGCAAAGCGAGTCGTTACGTTTCTACGATTCATGAAAATAAGGTTATAGTTAGGTGTGTGTCATGATACTGCACAAATTGATTAACTCCGTAACACAAAATGTTGAGAAATGCGATGTTTTTTATAATTCCCTTTATAATATAATTTCGAATAAAGATTGTGGAATGCATAAATACAGATGTGCAAACCACTCTATAACGGATAATTATTGTATTTTCTAATGAATTTGTTGTCATGCGTCTCCGAGTCTTAAATTCCAGTGTGACCCTAATCTTGTCTATAAGGAGCGACCGCGTTTGAAAAAATTCATGGAGCTACCCTAAGTTATACACACGGCGTTTCTACGTTGTTTACGATCCATAAAGATTTCAGAAGGGTACTTGAGACTCCTGACACGCAGAGGGGTTCGTTTCTCCGGTAATATCGGCTGAGGGCGACAACTAATTTATGACACTAATCTCTGCTACCTTACTACACTCCTTACATGTTATTTTCTGTCATGTATTTATCACGCTTATGTAGGGAAGCTCCTAAACTCGTGTTAGTTTCCACATTTACTGCTACGATCGATAGGAGACTCTGTAAGCTATTGTGTCTATTTTCAATACGCATTATTTATTATTTCTTGTGGTGTATTCTCCTATATTTGTTGACTAAAATGGCTGAACAAGTTGAAGAATTAATGTTTCAGTCATTTTCATCTTTCTATCGACAAAAATCCTTGATTTCTCTATTTCCTCTAAATTACTACCTGCTCCAATTCCATAACATTTAAAGCGTTGCATCCGAAGAACCTGAACATCCGTAGAAATGCTAATAATTAATATCGTGAATTGGTTTTCTCGGTGAATTTGTGGTTCGAATGCGATTGAAAAACGGCAAATAATTGTAGTACAATAATTTCAATAATTTCGAGGCTTTCCCTCATGATTAACACTTTTTTATTGAAATTGCAGATCGAGGACGCCATGCTGATGTTCGACAAGCAGACCAACAGGCACAGAGGTGAGTGGAATTTATGGTTTTCTCGGAGGGTGCAGGGGAGGGAAGAGGATTCCACCCGCGATACAATAATTCGATACCGGGCTGCTAATGACTGTTTAATCACCGATGATCGTTAAAACGTGAGAGGAGTGCTGACGACGCGCGACCGCCGGCGAAATTTCGATCCGCGGGACTTCGGCTGGGCGCAAATATGTTGAAAATATGGTCGAGACTATTCTGTTTAGCGAGTCAATAATACCGGCCGTTTCGCTCGCGGAGATCGTTGATCGGGTAATTAACGAGCTGGCGCGAAACTATTATTAGTAATTACGGTAATACACGACACCAATGCGTCAACGACGCTACAGCTAAAGATAAATAGCATTAATTTGACGCTGCGATCAATCGAAGCGTTAATCACGACTGGTGATTGCGCGATTCAACGTTGTCCTGCACTTCTTGCAATTCTATCGATGCTTGCCATAGTGTGCTTCTTTCCTCCTTTGGATAGATTGTCTTAGAGTGGGACATGAGCAGAGATGCATGTTTATTTCAATTAATTTCTCTCTAGACAGACGTCTTTTATGTACATTAATTTAGTCGAAAGCTTCGATATTCATAATTCTATTACTTATCCCAAAGGCATGGCGAACTCCGTAAGAAATTCAGAACGACCTTCGCATTGTTATAAAGAAATAGAAATACAAGATGAGAGATGCGTTATGCTAATTTTGTACTCCCCATTCTCGATTCTAATCTAAGCAGGATGAATTCACGTTTTCATACGTCGTTTATATACGTACGCGGGCCGTATGTAAATGCTCGTTCCATTTCGATTCCTGGCACGCGTCGTTTCTTTTATTCTTTATGATAATCGCACCTGAATAAAAGCCCTCTTGCAACCGGCCACCATGGTCGTCTATTGTTACGCGTGATGCGATCGGCTGAAATTCAAAGCCGCCGTGGAGTTTGCGTCTCTTCGACGCCTACGTAGTCAACTGATAACGCAAACATCAAGAAATTGTTATTCCCCGAAATGTTATCATTCGATCCCTCAGAAACGCGTTGGAAATTTCCTGGTAGCATCGTAATTTATTTAAATTATTTTAATTTCACATTCGATTACGAAATAAGAGCCGGTGACGCGAAGTCACAGGCCTTCGGTACGCACTAGTCCTGATCGTCAATTCGGGTAAGAAATTCGATCAATATCGAGGCATTACCTTACACGTGACTGCACGGAAAGGCCGCGAAAGTCAAATAGAAGCAGTTACATCGAAGCCCGGCGAAATGAGACGATTCGATCGGTACCCGAGCGAAGGAGAGGGGAGGGGGCCATCGGGATGAATGAAATATCAGACTGCTAATGTAATATATACGCCAGCTCGATTCTCGTCTCCATCGACGACGGAGAAGAGAGACAGAAATACGAATGGCAAGGGTCTCGCTGTCGCGAGCCTGGATCCATTCACGTCGCTGCTTCAATGGGGTCGATAATCGTCAGCGATCGAGTTACCCCACCCGACCGATAATCGGGAGTCTCTCTATCTTTTTTAACGGTATCCTACTTCTCTCTTCGATCCCCCGACGGTTACCCCGTCCCTTCCTCTTCAGTAGAGTGCCTGCCGGGTCTCCCAGTGATAGATTCTAATATCGCTTATGAAAAATAGGGGCAAATGGGATATGAAAGCTGGCTCCCTTCAATGCCACAGGGGTTTCCCGCTGCCTCGAGGGGGAGAAGAAGGAAGGGTCGTGCCCGCGGGTTAGCGGGAATGGAGGCGGTAACGGAGAGATGTGTTGCGCGTCTCAGCAAACGGACGACAGCAAGAAAAGGAGTAGGTGAAATAGTCGTTGTACCTCTGGCGAAGAAAGAGGAGAGACTTCCGCGGGCGGGGAGGGCGAGGAAACGAGTAAAAGAAAGAGCGAACCGCCAAGGAAGGAGAGAGACGAGGATGGCTCTTTCAAAGCGGCGCGTAATCTCTCTCGCGATGACATCCAATACCATCCCCGTCGGACGAGTCTGCAAACCTCGAACCTCGAACATCACTGCTCTCCCGCAGATTTCACAATACGGTACTTCCATAACCGGTCTGTGATCCCTAAGGGGATTATTGTCGGATTTTCTGTGAGCGCCGCGCGAGCAACTTCGGTCGCAATCAACGAGACACCAATGGATCTTACTCGCCGGCCACTGTTTTCATCGCCGCTATCGGCTGCGTCGCATCCCCGATGTCTACCAGTTGCACCGCTACGGTCACATTTAGCGCGTATCGTGCTTTGAATATTACGGGGTACGATACTTTACATAAGATCCACTCCAAAACAGTTATCAAACCTCCAACCGATAAAGGAGAACCAAAGAGAACCCCACTCGCAGTCCACGGCCGGGAAAATATTCTTCCTTGAGATTACAAGGTTCCCTGGCACGCACGCGAGGAGCGTCGCCCCCGAAAAGTGACTCCTTTACACCGAGCCAAAGTGTAAAACTTATGTCGATCGTCGAATAAAGGGCGGATAGAGACCCTTCACCGGGAGGAAGATCGTTCGTTTGATAGCCGACAACGACCGGGGGTGGAGCACGATTCCTTCAAGGTCGTAACGTCTTCTAACCCAGATTCGATTTCGATCTGCGAGGATCGAGCGAGAGGCGCGGAACAACGAGGGAAAAGGGCGGGGGCTCGTGGAATTACAAAGAGAGATCCTTGTCGATGTTCGAGGCGACCCCTTTACGTCCAAATCCCCGAAGAAGTTGCCTCGGTGAAAGAAGAATCCGAGCGTTTCCGGACAATTTCGAGTCCCGCAGCGAGCTATGATTTCCACGCGAATGGGCAAGCTGCAATTGCAGCAAAGCGTGTCTTCTCTCTAGCGTGGCAGCCGGCGAAGAGGCGCGACTATAGCTCGAGGCGCGATTATCCAAGCTTCGCTGGCCAAAGGATTTTCTTTTCGTGAGCTCCACCCTTACGCGCGACGCGGGAGGAAGGGATGCAGGAGGAAGAGGAGGAGGAGAAGGAGGAGGGCGCACCTATAAGGCTGAGCGCAAGCCACGGTCCGTAGCTTCGCGCAGACTTGAGCGTGTGTTTGCACACGGAGACGCCAGAGCCGCGCGTTTATATACCCTGAGCGCATGTGTTTGCGCGTATACCTTGTCATAAATTGCTGGCACATTGCTCCTGGATGGGACGTATGTGTTTCCGTACGCCCCCAGGACCGTTCGGCTACGTCCTTCCTGATTGCCTACCGGCGATGGCCTCCGAAAGAAGGACTTGTTTACTCATGCGTGAACGCGCGTCAAAAGGACGTCCACCTTCAATCGTTCATTGAATCTCTGCTCGCTGGACGACGATCTAGAATCGGGGTTGATCCGATCCAACCGGGGAAAATTGTGCTGCATTTCGTCGACTTGGTCGACGATTTTTTCTTGGGGCTCGGACTTTGTTACACATGTGTTCTCTTCGTTTGTATATTTGAACAAGTCTGTTTGGTTTGGGTATTCGAGGAATGCAATTGGAATACTTTATTGGTAAATTGTTTTAGTAAAAGAAAAAGTGGCAAGGCATATTTAATTTGCTCTTTGTAGCTTCACGAATAATAGCTGAATATCATTTACCCACAAGTAGCAATATTCGAGATTACCGAGAATCTGCCGCTTATCAATAGTTCCTCTGAACTCTTTAAAAAAAACACGATCGTGTCCTTAAAATTAAAATGTGTGATTCCCACAGTCAACGATACACTTCACTTTAAAACTTCATTAAGCCATTTTCGCCAATTCTCAATTTATTTACCACAACAGACACTAGACCACTCTCATAACAGTTTAAGCATCGGATCGATCTAATTTCTGGACAGAATCCCACCCTCGAAGCACCAGTACTTGAACACTCAGGCCGATTTCCGTGACTCCTAACCTTACGTCCAAGTCGCTCCTAGAATGAGCTTTCGCCCCCTTCCCCCCTCTAATCGTAACAGACGCGTCACAAAGTCTCGACTTAACGAAGCTCCGAATTTCGAGTCCTCTGGCAGGGGTGATGCATCTGGGCGGATGCAATTACCGGGGACGGGGTTAGGTTTCCTCTCCAGTGGACAAGGAGAATCTCCGCGCGAAGACTCGGGGAACTCGAGGAAGCCGCCGCGACAGCTAGAGCAGACGGTGGCTGGATATGTTATGTCGGTTTGACGTAATCCTAGGGGCCCCGCGAGCCGGGGAACGGAACTCTAGTGACGCAGGGAAGGGGAGACGTCCCCCTAGCTAGCAGAAGAGATATTCTATTCGCGCTTCACGGGTCGGGGCAACTCGCGTGGCCCGCGGTAAACCTAACCCGCCAACTTCGGCACGTATGCACGAGCTGCACCGCTGCCTGCGCCCATTTCTCCGCCTGGAATAGTTCCGCCTGGTCCGCTGAACTTCCCTGCTGGATCGGTACGAAATAGTTTCGAAGCTGTTTCTAGCACTCCGTTCGGTTCCCGCTGCTCGCAGCAGCGTGCACGGGCCTCTGGGTAACTTCTAAGATCACCGCCTGCTCGCCACCGAATCGGTACGCCGCCTCCGCTCGACCGGAAAGTCGAGATTGATTTCCACGGAGTTCCGCGTTGTCGGTTCTTGATTGGTAATTGCGCCACCGCGATCGATAGCTCGCTGGAATACGCGTGCCTCGGGAACGTTCCACGTCGAGTCTCTCAGGGTGTGCGTGAGCGACGAGACGTGACATCTGCGAAACTGTCTGGTTTAGAATCCAATAAAACCAAAATAGTTGACAAATAATTGGTTATAATCACGTTAACGGTCTCTTGAAACCATGCAAAAGGTGATAAAAAGATTTTCGATCGGTCTGCTAATAGCAGATAATAACTATTTTGAAATCTCAGGACAACCATGGATATTCCCCGGAAAAATTCGAAACGAACCCGCGCGCTCTTGAAATATGTCTCAAACACGCGCAACGCCACAGGAAATGTTCATAAGGTTTGAATTATGGAGGGTTAAAAATTTCTGGTATTCGTCGAAGCGTGTTGAAAAGTTT